TCGGTGCATGGGCCAACACTCTACCACGGAGCCACACCGGCCAGGGCTGGTCAAACATTTTTTAAATATATATTTTTATCGTTTGGTTACCTCCTATACATACCCCAACCTGCAATCTGGGTTATGTGACCTGACTGGAAATTGAACCTGCCGCCTTTTGGTGTATGGGATGACACTCCGACCACTGAGCCCCTGAGCATGGCCAGGGATGCTTATTGCATTATTAAGAATCAGGTAGAAGTGAGCCAGGTATGGATGAACAGTGAGAGTAAATTCTGTGCACTTGAGGTCTGAAGGGAAAAAATGCCAATAGTGGGGACTTAAGAGCGCTTCTGAGTTTGACATTTTGACTGCAGCAGTTTATTAATTGGCACATCCTTATGCTTCTCCTGCCTCATCTATAAAATAAAGATAACATTGCCTACATCATAGGAATATCTAATATTAAATGGGTTAATATATGTGCCTGGTACAGAGTAAACTCTCTAAGTCTTTGCCATTTGTTTTATCTAATGCTATGCAATAAACCACCAAACAATTTAGTGGGTAGCAAGAGCTATTTTGTTTGTTTATTTATTACCGTTCTGTGGGCTGAGATGTGGTTTTTCTGGTGGTTTCATTTGTGGTCTGTCATTTAGCTGTAGACAAGTGTCAGCTGGGGCTAAACTGAAGCCGTATGTTGCCTTTTCAGGGTATGTATGCCTGAAAGGCTGGGGCTCAGATGAACAAATAAGACTCTCCAGATATCCCTTTTGCCCCCTTAAGTTAAATTTATCGGGGTGACATCCACACATCCTTTCTGTGGGATCTCCAGTAGAGTAGCCGATTTTGGGGGCTTTGAAGAACATAAAAATTAAGCTGCCAGGCCTGGAATTGGGACATTTTGGTTCTTCTATGACTAGAAAAAAAAATTCCGAGTTGTTCTGAATTAAATTACAGCTGCAGGAGAATGAGAGAACAGTTAGCCTGTTATTAGCCGTGGACCATCTCTGACAAAAGACTGCTTACATTCCTGTATATCTGTTGGAATTTGGGCTTAATTTGTAGGTGGCTGTTTTTAAAATTATCCAAAGGAGAATAGCCAGACATCATAGAGCCCCAGGAGTCTCCGCTTTTTATTTACATGAACGTGAACTTTTCCAATCCACTGCCCTTAGCTAATCCATAGGAGGTGACACTTCTTTCTTGCTGACTGTGTCTCTCCCAGAGCTGGCCCTGTTTCAGTTCCGTTTCCCCCACCCCCTCTGTCTATAGCTAGTGTAAATTCTTTCAGAATGATTTACATTCCTTCCTGCCCTCTCCTCCCACTTTCCAGGACAGTAGACGTGTCTCTTCACTTAGCTATGCTGCTGGTAGTCAGGCTTCCTGCTCCAGGACCTAGTCTTTCTTGCTGTCAATGGCCTAATCCTTTCTTTTATAAAAGACATTCCCCTTGGAAGTTAAAACTTTCTGTTTAACAGTTGCGTCCTATTGATCAGCTTATGTCACAGAGCCAGTTGGGAGATGTGATTCATTGGGGGCCGTTTTTGGAAATCATCCACACTATTATTAATATTTGTGTCCATTATGTTGCTGTGACATGTATATAATAGTTATCTTAGGCACTGGGAATATATTAATGAACAAATAAAAATCCCTCCCTACTTGTAGCTTATATTTTACATGATAAATAATTAAAATGTGTAGTGGGTTGGTTGGTAACATGTCCTGTGAAGAAAATTTAAGCAAGAAGAGAGAGGGCACTCTGGGGGTTGGGAGTTGCAGTTTGAAAAACGGGATATGACATTTGAGCAAAGACAAGAGGAGGTTAGGAGCTAGAGGAGCAAAGGTGGAATAGAAGAGGGGCATGAGAACTATATAAGTTAATTTAAGTCAAAGAAAATTAGCCCTAGCTAGTTTGGCTCAGTAGATGAGTGTCGGCCTGCGGGTCCCAGGTTTGATTCCAGTCAAGGGCACAGGCCCGGTTGTGGGCTCCATCCCCAGTAGGGTCGTGTAGAAGGCATCTGATTAATGATTCTCATCGTTGATGTTTCTGTCTCCCTCTCCCTCTCTGAAATCAGTAAAAATATATTAAAAAAAAAAAGTAAGTCAGCGCCTGCTATGTGCTACCTGACACAGAGATGCAAGTGGACCGGAGGGAGCCCCCAGAACGAAGAAAATTCCTGCAAAGATTGATTAATACTACCTGTACCATAAAAGGAAAACAGACCACAAAATATACCTCTTAAAGGTTAAAGTTGCCCTAGCCCTGTGGCCGGCAAACCGCGGCTCGCGAGCCACATGCGGCTCTTTGGCCCCTTGAGTGTGGCTCTTCCACAAAATACCACGTGCGGGTGCGCATGTACAATGCGATTGAAACTTCGTGGCCTATGTGCAGAAGTCGGTATTTTGTGGAAGAGCCGCATGTGGCTTGCGAGCCGTGGTTTGCCGAGCCGCAGTTTGCTGACCATTGCCCTAGCCGGTTTGATTCAGTGGGTAGAGTGACGTCCTGTGGACTGAAGGGTCCCGGGTTTGATACATATGCGGGATGCAGGCTTGGTCCCCAGTGTAGGGCGTGCAGAAGGCAGCCAATCAATGATTCTCTCCCATCATTGATGTTTCTATCTCTCCCTTCCTCTTCTGAAATCAATAAAAATATATTTTAAAACAAGGTTAATGTTAACCCCAATGTTTTTGCCCACTCTCTATTTCCCCATGCCAGTAATTTTCCATAGAAACCAAAAACAGCTACAAGTTCAACTTCTACAGACAGTTGGGGTCTTCTCTCTTGTGAGGAGATCCCATTACTCCGTGAAGTAGCTTTTCTTGCTTGTCCTCTCTGCTCAATAAACTTGCTCTGATTTTAACCTCTCATCTGGTTTGAGCCTTGAAATCGTTCCTTCATGAAGCCAAGACCCCTCTTGGCTCGGGCTCAAGTCTCCCCTAGAGACTATCCCTCCGGCATCAGAAGCAAGAAAACTTTAAAAAGGCTAATGCAGTTTGGAGATGGGTGGGTGGATTAGTATAGGGAGAAGTGCTTAGATTTTGACTACATTTTGAAGACAGCTTCAGAATTTATTTATGGACTGGGTGTGGAGTGAGAGAAAAAGGAAATTAAGGATGGTTTTAAAATCATTAACCTGAGCTACTGAAGGATGGAGTTGCCATTTACTGAAATGAGCAAGACTACAGAGCTAGCAGGTTTGGGGAGATCAGGATTGGTTTTGAAGGGGACCAAAATTTTGCCTACCTAAAGCTGCCTCTTAGGATATTGATTTTAAACTGGTTATTAAGAAGCAAGACTCAGAAAGAAACTTTGACCCTCTTCCCCTTTCTTGCCTGAGAGTTTCAGGTGGAACTCTCCACCTTAGCCCAATCTGAATTGAGTGTGGTGGATAGGAGGGGCTCATTAACTAGCTACCCCTCACAGCATCTCATTGTTTCTTGGTTGCTTAGCAGAAATTTATGTGGCCTGTATGTTCCACTCTTCCTCAGTTACCTATAAATGGCCAATTCTCACTTTTGAAATCTAAGATCCCATTCCCTCCTTTTCTCCTTGCCTAAAATGTCATATATACGCAATTTTGACTCACTGGAATTTTCATGCTTATGTAAACTCCTTGTGCATATATATTAAACATTTGATTTTCTGTTAATCTCTCTGTTGATTATTAGCCCAGCTAGGAGAACTTAGAAAGTGGGAGGGAAGTTATTTGGAGCCCCTATTTTATTTATTGGGTTTGAAATGCCAATTAAAAGCTAGCTGTTTTAAAATGTAAGCTATGCTTGTATCCTATTAGACTGCCCTTTTTTTGTAGCAAAGAAAGCTGATAGGAAGGAGAAATTTATGCCTGTAATAGTTAAGTCTTCTCTGAAGAGTGAGGAATTTTGTTAGTTTTAGCTAGACTATTGGCTTTTCTAGGCTCTTTTCACCCTTTCCCTGATGTGGTTTGTTCATAAATCTCACTGATTGTCACCTTTTTACTAGAAAAAGGCCTGAAGTAAACTCAAGCAAGTTTATTTAAAATTGCCATTTTCCTTTCCTACAGTTTTTCTTTAAGGAGAAAAGGTAGAGGTGAGAATATAAAATTAAATCGTACTCTCTATTTCAATTCATGCTGTATCTTTTCCTTGATGATGTATGTCCACCTTGGTTTAACCCAGTTTGTAAGAATTTAGTTGCCATTGATCAGAGAAAATTTCAGATGGTCTAAATATAGCTGTTTGAGAGTGAGAAGAAACAGGAATAATTAACAGTTAATAGCTGTGGGACAGTTAACAAAAGAGTGCTTACATTCCAGAATAATACGTATATTGGAGCTTTGAATCAACCCCATATGCATCCTAATCCTGCATATGCATGAACTTTCTGGACTGTTGCTTTAACCAATCAAAAGTAGTAAATCTTTCTTTCTTACAGACTGAGCGCCTGTCAAAGGACTGCCCATACTTCACCTTATTTTCTCCCCACTAATCTCAAGAGAGAGAGAGCAAACATGTGATAAATTCTTACTGGGCCACCCACAAACAAGGGGACTAAAGGAAACCGGCTTTGCTAGATTTCTCCCTGACACATTTCGTTTATATTATGATATTAATGTCCCTTCTTTTAAGCAGGTTTTTCTATCTGAATTCTTTTAGGCAAGTAAAAGGGGGAATGTCAAAGTTCTTTCTGGGTCTTGTTTCCTAATAACCAGCTTAACTCAATATCCCAAAAGGCATATTTTGGGGTGGCAAAACTTTGGTCCCCTCAGTCCCACCTTTGAAACTTTAAAAAGTTTCATGCTCCAGGAGCAAAGTTGGTAGATTGCATAGGTGGTTCTTACTCTTGATTTAGCTCTTCAGCTTTTTGCAGTATCTGACCTAGAAAGTGACCAGAGGGTATCAAGCATCTCCACGTGGATATATTACATTTGTGTGGGGCGTTCTGATGTGTCTTATTTCTGCAGGCTGCTTTTTTTGTAAATCCTAGAGAGAATTTTCTACTTCAGAAGAGATTTTGTAATTTTTTATCCTTTTAGATTCATCAACAGACTAATTTCTTCACTGCCAAAATGGCATCACTTTCTACCTCTGCGCAGTGTTCAACATCTGGCAGTGCTTGCAGGAGCTCTCCAAGACAGATCAAGCAGGTAAGATGTTTTTAGGCATTCCTATTTCTCTTTAAGTTAAAAAAAAGTAAAATTGAGTTGGGGATGTAGCTGGCTTCACTGACTGTAGGTTTTTATAGATAGCAGAAGTATTTTAAAATGTCATATTAGGGAAATTAGTAAACAGTATTAATGCTCATAAATTTGAATGATCATTGATTCCATAAATGTATAGAAGTTACTGATTGCTTAATGGTACATTTTGAAAACTAGAGTGTTTTAGGGTACAGGCGGCTAGTGAGTTTGGGACCAAGTTATATAAATTAGTTTTTGTCTCTCACTTCATTCTAATTTGTTTTCTTTAAAATAAAATTTTAAATTGTAAATATAGCAAATGTATTCTTAAAAGAGATTAAAATGTTATAATGTATTTAAAGTGGCTTTTTAAAAAATGTATTTTTATTGATTTCAGAGAGGAAGGGAGAGGGAGAGAGAGAGAGAAATATCAATGATGAGAGAGAATGCTTGACTGGCTGCCTCCTGCACATCCCTTACTGGGGATCAAGCCTGCAACCCAGGCATGTGCCCTGACCGGAATTGAGCCATGGTTGTTGCTCAACCACAGAGCCACACTGGCTGGGCAGTATAGAGACTTTTTTGACCCATGCCTTTCCCCAAAGTCCCTTTCCCCTAACATAACACTTAATCAATTTGGTGTGTCTTGTTCCAGATCTTTCCTCTAACATACCAAAATAATGTCCTTTTGTGTTGTGTTTTCATAAAAATTGTACACCATATAATATTATGTAGCTCATTTTATTAAAGTGGTGGAATTTGGATTTGATGGGAAAATGTGGTGTATGGTTTTGATGTAATTTGCTATCTCTGGAAGGACACAAATTAAGACCTCAAACCTAATGTAAAAACAAATTGCAGATAGATACTTAAATGTAAAAAATGAAATGATTAAAAATACTGGAAGAAAATTTAAGAAATACTTGTGAAACTTTAGAATGAGGGAGGCCTTATGATAACTATGGAGGCTGTAAGGCTTTTATTATTATAGATTAGATAAGTATCCACCAGTGTTTAAAAAGTTGAAGGAGGTTCTCGTTCTCTATGGTATCAGAAATCAATCTAATTGAAATGTAAATATCAGATTTATTTTGTTTTTATTAGGTACGACCAAAACTGCCACTTCTGAAGATTTTGCAGGCAGCAGGTGCGCAGGGTGAAATCTTCACTGTTACCCAGGTAAGCTATCAAAGAAAATTGTTTCAAGAACAGCTCAGAAATAGAAGCTGATGAATCTGTAGTTCTGAACTCAGCCCTAAGGAGGGAAGTTCTCCTGAGGTACTGGAGAGGCAACTTTTGCTCTGTTTCAAAGACCATGGAGCTAAGTTGGATTTCATATTTCCTTTAAATTCCCCTTTGAAGTTTGTTGTCAGCTAAACAAAACTAACCACGAGTGTATTGATCTCAGAATTAAAATGCAAAGCATGTATAAGATTTTAAAAAATAACACTGTCTGTGATTTACTGATGCTACCAGGCAGGAACTAAATGCTGTACCTTTGCATTATAAATGTGTCAGATAATTTTTTGAACACTGTGAGTTATTTTAAACACTTAAATAACTTATTTAGCTTCTGAAGTTTTTTTAAAAAGCAAAAACAAACTGAATTCTTTATGTGGAAAGAGTATTAAAATGTTCATCTCTTTGAACTGTGCTTACTTTTAGTAAGGTAAATGCTTCCTAAACAGAAGAAATAAAGTTATCAAGCTTTTTTTGAGTTAGCTTTTTTAAATATATTTTATTGATTTTTTACAGAGAAGAAGGGAGAGGGATAGAGAGCTAGAAACATCGATAAGCTGCCTCCTGCACACCCCCCACTGGGGATGTGCCCACAACCAAGGTACATGCCCTTGACTGGAATCGAATCTGGGACCCTACAGTCCGCAGGCTGACACTTTATCCACTGAGCCAAACCGGTCAGGGCTCTTTTTGAGTTTTTTAGGGACCTTAACACTTGTCTGTAATACTGCACTCCTGAGCCATTAAAACCCTCAAGGAAACAAATCTGGAGTCATTTCAGATTTTTTAAAATGCTCATATTTCCTTTATCATTTTAAATTATGTAGAGTCCATAATTTGGGTGATAACTCTAAAATTCTGATAAATATTACTTTTTTCAAACTTATTAAAGTGTGGATTTTTATTATTTATTTTTAAAAATATATTTTTATTGATTTCAGAGAGGAAGGGAGAGGGAGCGAGACACAGAAACATCAATGATGAAAGAGAATCATTGATCAGTTACTTCTTGCATGCCCCACACTGGGGATCGAGGCCACAACTGGGGCATGTGCCCTGATTGGGAATTGAACCATGATCTCCTGGTTCATAGTTTGACCTCAGCCACTGAGCCACGCCAGCCAGGCAAAGTGTGGATTTTTATATCAAAATTATGAGTTATGCTAGCTTCAATAGCATGGCAGAGTTTACTGGGGAAAAAGTTGGATAGAGTCAGTTTACATGAACTCTGTTATGAATTGACCCTACCAGGTGCATAAAGAGGAATCCCCTAAATATTTTTAAATACTAGTTGTTAGTATGGGTATTAAGGCAGTATATACAGATTTAGAGTAGTGTTTTAGATTTTATTTTGTGTACTTAGAGTGGATTTTTAAAAATATATATTTTATTGATTTTTTTACAGAGAGGAAGGGGGAGGGATAGAGAGTTAACATCGATGAGAGAGAAACATTGACCAGCTGCCTCTTGCACACTCCCCACTGGGGATGTGCCCTCAACCAAGGTACATGCCCTTGACCGGAATTAAACCTGGGACCTTTCAGTCTGCAGGTCGACGCTCTATCCACTGAGCCAAACCGGTTAGGACGATTTTTTATTTTTACTAAAAGTTGGGCAGACATAAATGTGTCCTCCATTTCTTCTAGTAGATGCTCTTCCCCATCTTATTTTTCTCTAGGTATTTGATTAGGTAGGATAACTTTGCTAATTCTGGGACACATTGTCTGAGATGGAGGGGAGCCCCGGAGCACCATTGCTCCTAATATAATGAGAACAGTGTAGGTAGCAAATTTCTGTGCAGATATCTAATAATTTCTGAGAAGTGGGGACCTAAAGATAAAGATCGCTGCTTTGGTCTGCTTGTAATCTGAGATAGCAAAATTCTTACTGTCATTAAGTGACCGTAATTATTAAGCAATTTTAAAAAAATCTGTTACCGAAAGAAAACATTAGGATGAAATTATATCATTTTTAAGTTTTGAATCATAAACTCGTCTGTTTCCTTCCATTTTGTGAACTTGTAAGAAAAGCCAGATAGATTAAATTTTTGATAAGCACTTAAAGTGTGTTTTATGCACTTATAGTTTATTAACCATTGTACTTCATTTGTCAAAAATAATTATGTGAACACACAGTAAGTCTATCATAGTTATGTACCCCTGGACTTGCAAAATATTTTTATGACCCAGGCAAATTTGAAGTTTATGCCTTTGAGTAATAGGTGAGACTCCTTTATTTGGATTGGTGAGAAAATTTTAAAGGTGACAGACACTAGGTAAATTCACCACTTTTTCTCATTGTCAGACCAATACATTTCTATTATAAAACTTAAGGCTCTGTTAATATCCAGAATGATAATAAGTGGATGAACCTAGTATTTGGGTTCAGTTATCCTGTTGTAGGACCCCAGACCTTTATTTATTTTTTAAATATATTTTATTGATTTTTTTACAGAGAGGAAGAGAGAGGGATAGTTAGAAACATTGATGAGAGAGAAACATCGATCAGCTACTTCCTGCACACTCCATACTGGGGATGTGCCTGCAACCAAGGTACATGCCCTTGACCGGAATCGAACCTGGGACCCTTCAAGTCCGCAGGCTGACGCTCTATCCACAGAGCCAAAACGGTTAGGGCAGGACCCCAGACCTTTATATGTTACCTCTTCCTCTAACAAACCTAACTTACCTTATCCTATATAATAATAGGGTAATATGCAAATCAACAGAATGGTGGAACAACTGGTCGCTATGATACACATTGACCACGTGGGGGCAGATGCTCAGTGTAGGAGCTGCCCCCTGGTGGTCAGTGCACTCCCACAGAATGAGTGCCGCTCAGGAACGTAGGAGCTGTCCCCTGGTGGTCATTGCACTCCCACAGAGTGAGTGCTGCTCAGCCACAAGCCAAGCTGACGGCTAGCAAGTGCAGCAGTGGTGGCAGGAGCCTCTCTCACCTCTGCAGCAGTGCTAAGGATGTCAGGCCTAAGCCGTCAGACATCCGCTGAGGGTTCCCGGACTGTGCAGGCCAGACTGAGGGGAAACCACCCTCCCACCCCTGTCCAGTGCATGATATTCGTGCACTGGGCCTCTCGTCTCCTTATAATTAACCAGAGGCCTGGTGCATGATTGGACCGGGGAGGGACCGCAGGAGGGCTCCAGGGCATGTCTGGCCCATCTTGCTAAGTCCTTATGGGCCAAACCCTAGCAGCAAGCTAACCTTCCAGTTGGAGAGTCTGCCCCCTGGTGGTCAGTGCACGTCACAGTGAGTGGTGGAAGGACCTTAGCATGTCATTAGCATATTATGCTTTGATTGGTTGAATGGCCGACTGGTCCACCGGACACTTAGCATATTAGGCTTTTATTATATAGGATTTGTGTATTTTTTAAAATATTTTTATTGACTTCAGAGAAGAAGGGAGGGGGATAGAGAGAAACATCAATGATGAGAGATAATCATTGATTGGCTGCCTCCTGCACACCCCACACTGGGGATTGAGCCCACAGCCTGGGCATGTGCCTGACTGGGAATCAAACTGTGACCTCCTGGTTCATAGGTTGATGCTCAACCACGAGCCACGCCAGCCAGGCAATTTGTGTGTTTTTGACAGCAGCTGGACAGAACTCTTAATAATAATTTATTTCTGTGCAGGTCATGCACTTTCTAGGCCAATATATAACAATGAAGCAGCTTTATGATCCTCGGGAGCAGCATATGGTATATTGTAGTGGAGATCTTTTGGGAGAACTCCTAGGATGTCAGAGCTTCTCTGTGAAAGATCCAAGGTAAAAAGAGGGGGGTGCTTATACCTAACTACTTGATCTTCATAAGTTATTAGTGGTTATCTATTCCTTTAGTCAACAAATATTTAAGGACCTACGTATGTCAAGTGGCCTATGAGGCACTGAGAACATAGTAGGGAGCCATAGTCTCTGATTTATGGAGCTTAATTAAAGTGTAGTGAGACAGGTGCTCTTCCCTATCTTAATCAAATTATCACACTATAAGGCAAAATTATACTAGGGGAGGGGTTTATGGTCTTAGGGATCAAGGAAAGATTCCTAGAGAAATTGATTATTTGAGCTGAGAGCTGAAGGATAATTAAGGAGTCAGGATTCAAGTAGAAGAGACTGGTTGAAGGAGGACTTAGTGCCAATTGAGCATCACGTGGGAAGGATTGAATATTAGGGAGCTTGATGTGACTAGGTTAGAATTTTGTGAAACAGTTGTAGAGAGAGGGACTGAGATGATGAGCAATGTAGAATTGCTGGGCAGCTTGAGATTGATGATGGGCTCCTACTATGATTTCTATGACTTGTGTGTCTTTCTCCAGCTGCATGGGGAATTTGGGTATTTATACAATCAAAGGCTAATTAGCAAGTGAGAAGCAGTGTTCTCTTTCTATATCTTTGTGATGACTTTCTATAGCTTCATTTTGTCTTTCTTTGGTAAGACTCCCTTCCACTTGCACATCCTAACTAACTCCTAGAAGAAAGGAGTAGTTTGCAAAGGAAATCTCCCCACTTTGGTTACTCTTAGCTAAATTAATAAAATGTCAATTAATTTTTTAAAAAAATATATTTTTTATTGATTTCAGAGTGGAAGGGAGAGGGATAGAGAGAGAGAAACATCAATGATGAGAGAGAATTATTAGATTGGCTGCCTCTACTGGGTATCAAGCCTGCAGCCTGGGCATGTGCCCTGACTGGGAATTGAACTGTGATCTTCTGGTTCATAGGTCAACCACTGAGAACATCTTGATATTTTAATAATTAAAAAAGTTCTGCCTGGCTGGTGTGACTCAGTTGGTTGGAGCCCCTCTCATCCCATACACCCAGTCAGGATACATACTCAGGTTGAGGGTTTGATCACTAGTTGAGACATGTGTAGGAGGCAATCAATTGATATTTCTCTTTCTCCCCTCCTCTCTCTAAAAGCAAAAAAATAATAAAAGATTTATTTTGGGGAAAATATTCTGTCTCTCCATATGTTATAAAGTTCAGAGATAGTGTTTGAGAAATACACTTAACATTTTAATGGGAAACTATTGGTTATTAATTTTTTATTTTATCTCCTTAACAGCCCTCTCTATGCTATGCTAAGAAAGAATCTTGTCGCTTTAACCACTGCTACTGCAGGTATGTCTCATCATATTTTTTCAGTCTGTATCACAGCTTTAAGTTCAAGGGGGCAAATGATGGGAGGGAAAACAAGGTGGAGATGGAATGCTGTCTTGGCATGACTGGGAGGGATATTATCACACAGAATGTGATTACTATGTCACTTAACTTTTAATTGTGAAAATTTCCCAATGTACTAAAGATAGATTGGTATAATTAATGTGTGCGCCTCTTGGACTTAGCAATTGTTAACATTTGATCATATTTGCTTTATGTAGGCGTACTTTAAAAATTGCTAACAGATCCCGTCTTTTTTCCTTTGAGCATAACTATAGTGCCATTATTACACTAAACAAAATAATGATAAACTAAAAACTCCATAATAGTATCCAAAAGCCAGTTTTTGTATAGTTACCCCCATTTATCGCAAAAATATCTTTTACATTTGGCTTGTTCAAAATCCACATTTAATTCAGAGCCCCCACACTACATTTGGTTGCTAACACTCCTTTGTTTTTATTTCATTTATTTAGTGAAGAAATGAATCATTTGTCCTATAGCATGTCATTCTAGAGTTTGTAGATTGTGATGTTGTTTAACATGTTTCTCTGTTCTATCTTTGATAACTAGTAGTGCTTGAATAGATTCAAGTTTAAATTTTTTTCTGGGAAGGTTTCATAGGGGTGCTTTTGACTATCTGTTGCATTACTTCAGAGTCATGTAAGGTCTTTGTGCCCTTTCAGTGGTAAGAGTCTGTGGACTTACATGGTATCAGCTTGATCCATCTATTATAAAGGTCCCCCAAGAACCTTTCACCTAATAGTTTTAGCTTTCTGTTATTTATTTTTTTAAAAACTTAATATGTTGTGAATAGTCACCCATTTCATTCTTTGAAAACATTTTTTTAATGCTTTTGTCTTTTTCTTTAAAATATATTTTTATTGATTTCAGAGAGGAAGGGAAAGGGAGAGAAAGAAACATCAATGACGAGAGAGAATCATTGATTGGCTGCCTCCTGCATGCCCCCTATTGGGAATCAAGCCTGCAACCCAGGCATGTGCCCTTTACTGGAATCGAGCTTGGGACCCCTCAGACCCCAGGCTGGCACTCTATTCACTGACCCAAACCAGCTGGGACTAGTTTGCTATTTTAGAACTCCTCATGAATCAAGTGTAGGTACACAGCATGTACTCCTTTCTATACTGTGTGATGCTTGCTTCAGCCGAGGCTGCTTATGGCTGG